CTTTAGATGCGCATCCAATGTGAAGTTTGGGTCAGGGGAGCCGAGGTTCCAAATCTGAAATAACCAAGCATGATCAAATTCAATTATTTCAGATTGGTTCATGGAGAGTTATGACGTTGTAAACAAGTTTATGCCATGAGGAAGCAAAGAAGACACGGAAGGAAAAAAAACCTTACCTTTATAGTCCGATCAAGAGATGCACTGGCAAATGTATTGGTATCTTTGGGATTAAATGTGACTTGCATCACATAATGGGAATGACCCTCAAAAATTTGAGTGCATAGCCATCCTTTCTCCCAGTCCCATAGCTTTATAAGCATGTCATCAGAAGATGACAGCACATATGGTAGAGAAGGATGAACAGCCACACACCTAATATAATCAGTGTGCGCTTCGAATACTTTGACCTTGTCCATGGTATTGTAATTGTATACACGAATGTACATATCATCAGCACCGGCAACAACCCATTGCTTGCGTGCTATAAACTTCGCTGACCTAACTGCAAAGAATGAACTAGGTGTTTAATAGAACTCAGTCTTAGATAAGGGAAAAGAGTGCTAGTTCACAGTTCTGGCCAAACAAAGATTATTTAAACTCCATCAAGGTACCTGGTAATTCAGTCACCTCGAAAGATTTAACCATTGTCTGCAATAGTAAAGATGGATAAGCTCTCTGTTGATGATACTGTTAACACGTAACTTTTGCTCTATAATTATGTATTGCCTCAATAGCTTCTCATACAGCATAAGCTAAGAAGTCAAATTGGCAAATACGTGAAGAAGATTTAAGTTAACGTGATTCATCTATGGTGAGAACTTCAATCTGCTCCTAATGTAGGATGTTACAGTAAGAAATATCACTAGGAATAATGGAGCAGTAAGTCCAAATGTGATTCACCGATCATGAATACTTGAACATACACCTAATGCAAGGCATTACAGTATGAAATTGTTTGTTATAGTCATTGGAGGGCAGTAATTCTACTAAAGTAACTTGCAGAGTCCAATATCAGGGTTAAGAGAGATGTTGTTGCAATGAAGATAGGGAAGATAAAGTAGGAGAAAGCAACAATACAAGGAACATAAGACCCTCCTACTTCAGTTGAATGGCAATTATGCTCCATAGTCTGTATCTTGGCTGTAAATTGTTATACTTTTAATTTGGCACAGGATAAGGGACAAGGTTTGTAAGGACTCATATAAACGACTCTCACTTGCTTGGAATTGAAGCGCTATTATTGTTGTATCTTGAAATTTCAAGTAAACAACAAATATCAACTGGCAGTAGATTGTTGAAAGAATAAATGTGTGTCTTCCAGTATTGCTATTGCACTAATAGTAAATCCTTCTCTGCCCAACTAAGTATACATAAAAACAATTTTGAGCATTCATTGATGATACCAAATAATCAAAAGTTAACTCTAGCTTATTCATCCAAGTATGATAGGAACTAAGCTTCCCCCAAACCAGATCACATTTAGGACACTCTTTTACAAATGAGAATACAATATACATCTTTCAAGATTTGAGAATTCAATAATCCAGGAAAAAAATACAAGTGTGGATGTTACTTCCCATACCTGGGTCTGGTAGTTCCAGATGCAAACAGTCCCCGAATACAAACTTGTCAATATCCTGAAAGAAGTAAGAACAGGACTTAGCTGCAAATAACTAGGTCCATGAGGTGGGGGTAAGGTCTGCTATACTCTACCCTCCCTTGACTCCACTTTATGTGATTTCACCGGGCATTAAGAAATAAATAGGACATGTGCAGTGATACTAACAATATGTCGCTTCGACATAAAACAATTTAAAATGGAACGCAAACATATCAGCTTAAACTGAAAGACAGTCCAATTACCATGGCTCCGTAGGATGTAGATCCACACACTTTACCCTTTCTGATCTTTGAGCAAGTTTCCTCTGAATCAATAATTAAAGTCAGCACAAAATGCATTAGTGGCACATATATGAAGTATATAAACATATTCAAGTACGCCAAAAGTATAGTACCTTAATCTCCAATCTCAGAGGCTGAGTCGCCATTTTCAATTCGAAATTGAAAAAACACAAACAGGAAACGAAATTAAGTTAGTGAGTAACAAAGTGACAGATCTCAAATTAACGAATAATAGACCTAACACTCAAAACTCATGAATACGAGACAGAATTGTGTTATCCTGGAGACGGTGATCAGTTACCGAAACCAAACTGAGTCCGATTTGAATCAGATCTAAGCCGTAACGTAATGTTGAACAGATTGAAACTAACAGACTCACCATTTTCAGCGATGAATATGAGAACTCTCCTGAAGAGTAACCGAAGCAGTGATTGAAGTAGCGGTAGAGAACAAATTGAAGCACAAATTAGCTGCAGAGATCTTCGAATTCCAAATGTTTTGAAGTGAGAGAAGGACGAAGAGAGATCAAGAGAGAGAAAATTAGTACTCCAAGAGGTTTAGCTCGTGTAACAGCGCAACCCCTGTAAAGCGAATGAAAAAAGGGGAATTTTATGAGGATGATCCTTTGTAGTTAAGAGTTAATTTTATGTGACCAAATAAAAGAGTTAATATTAGAATTTCTAATTTTGTTTTTGCTGTTTTTCACTTATGAGTTGTACGAGTTATTTGGATTTTTACGATTTGTTAAGAAGGAAAAAAATTATTCGCGTATACATTAAATTTTGTAGGACTTTGTAATATGTGTCTCATTCGAGTTGAAATTCTACTGATTAATTTTAATAAGAATTTTTGGAATCTAGTCGATCATCGAAAATACTAGTTCATGCTTATATAAGTGTTACTATATTTCCTTGAAAAGTCATTCATGGAATATTCATAAAGAGATCAAAGTCAAACCATCTTAATTCGAGCTACTAACTACCCTTAAATATTCATAAAAAGATCAAATTCAAATCATTTAATTCGGAAAATACGCTACTAATAACTATCCGAATTCAAATCATTTAATTCGAAAAGTACGCTACTAATAACTATTCGAGTTATATATGAAGATTAAATTCAAATCATCCTAGTTTAAGAAATATGTCACTAACGACCTTCGAATTATAGAAATCAAAATTCAAATCATCCAAATTTAAAAAATACCTCAAATAAATAATTTATTTTTAAATTAAAAAGTTATAAAAATAAACCAAAGATGTAAATATTTGGCAATATCATTAGACAATTATGGTTAGCATATGAAAGACGCCACGTAATAAAGCACAAATGTGTTTTACCAAGGCGAGACCGATGCTCAATATGAACTGCGAGCGTATGGGCACCATACGAGCTCAAGGTCGTAGCTATCGTCAGTGTTTCTTCTTGGGAAAAATTATATTATAATATATATTAGTTTTGGACGCGAATTTTGTATTTGTATTTCATATAATATTAAATTATACAAACGCAGATAGTTAAATATGAACCCGTGTGCTTCAGATGTAGTCTATGTCCACACTTTAAAGTTCAAATGTGCAGAGGATTTCACATAAATTTCTGAATTTGAATTTTATTACAACATAAATTTTTCATAATACATACTATACTAAAAGAAATGAATATGTTGCTAGCTTAGCAATAATGTAAAAAGTGGTAAATATTTATATCTAAACCAGTTGAAATACATTTGCCTGAAGTATACATTTCTTGGAGGAGAAATCTAACTGATAGACGATAAATGAAATATTAAGACAACAAACCTTATGACATTTTATAGAATATTTTGAAGAATATGAAAAGATTGACCAGAATAAATATTACGGAGAAGATAAAACTATGACCTATGTATAATCAGTAAAAATCAAGAAATTTAAATCAATATAAATAAAAAACATAAAAAGAAGTTATTATTGAAACTGAAAGATAGGAAATTTAATTAGTGAAATAATTTAGGCAACTTATACACATGTGACTTGATCATAATTAATTGTTTTTACACAATGCCTTCCACACTCTCACCACAGTTTTTGTTCCTCTAAACATGTAGTGAAAGAAAAAGTTGAAAGAGATAGATAAATAAATTTATGAATTTTTTGGTCAATAGAATTTTTCCTAAATAAAATTATAACAACAAACGTTTTTAGAAAGTACGAATATAATGTTTTGATTCATTGAATTTGAGAGGGTAATGAATTTTGTTATATTTCCTGATGTAAGCAAAGTAAATTAACTTTTAATTCATTATTATTATGAATATTAATTCAAGCTTTATAGAATTATTTTAGTATTTCAATTTTTATTTTTTTTATTCGCTTTCAATGAAATAATTAATAATTATTTATCAAAAATATACTTAATTTATCATTAGTTTGTGCTAATTATAAGAAGAAAACAAAAGATTCGGTAAATATTTATTGAAGCAATTTATTAAGCATTTAAAATGATTTTATAGATATAGTTCATCAAATTTTTTTTATACATTTTCACTATAAAAAATAACTGAGGTACACTTTAAAGACCATATTAACTATTGCAAAACTTTTAATTTCCTTTAGTCATTTAACATGATATCATCCAATCGTCCACATATTAATTGCATCTATGCCTAATTCATCCCATAGATTGTGAGTTCTCCATTTTTAGAATTTTAATATTATTATTATAAATGTATTATGATTAATGTGTATTTATATTTTGTTCATAAATATGTAACAATAGTGTTTAATAAAATACAATAGTTTTCATTTGATTGACTGCTCGACTTGGCTATTGAAGAAGCTCTTTGCCTTTAGGCACCAGGAGTAGGCAAAAAAAGACGGGCTTTCCTCCAACTGGCATGATTAAAATAGATTGCTAGAAGATTTAATGTATATTTATGTTTTTGTCTATAAATATTATGATATTATAAATATTTTTGTAATTCAACTTTTGATAAAAAGGTTTTTCACTTATGATATATATATCAAATGCTACTGCGAAAGGACATATATTAAAGGTCGATATCTTTGATAAAAACTATCTTTTTGGCACAGAAATAATGAATGTCCATTTGTAGAAAGAAATCGTAAGTTCAAATCGCGTCTTTTAGAAATTATTTATTATACAACATCAACTTTAATTCCAAGAAAATAAGTACAAGATAGACATAATGGATTCACAAGATCCAGTACAAGTAATTATAAAAACATATTATGATGGCAGAAACTAGAAATTAAAGCATGAAGAAAACATCAGCTTCTTCATATATATTGTCTCTCAATCTTCATACAATCTTTCCGATAATCATTCCTTCATCACAGCCAATTATGAGACTATCAAAGAAAACAATAGTTCTGATTAGGAGAAAAAACTAACCGCAAAATTAATTTAAGTTTAGCCATGTGTAGATAATAGAATCGGAGTACTAATTGAAATTCGAAAATAGAAGAATTCGTAGTGGAAGTAGAAACTTACATGTGAGAATCTTCCAGGCTTGCAAATCCAATTGCCCAAATTCTCCCAAGTTCAGAGATTTGTGTGTTGAGTAAGCTGTTTTAATAACATCAAAATCAATTAAATTTGCAGTATACACAATGTACAGTAATTGTACGTTGTGCAGGTTGCTAACATCCAATAGTTGATAATGATTCTTGTACATATTATTGTTAGATGTTATTCCATCACTCCGTTATACACAGAAATCAATTTATTACCTACGAGGCTTATTGCTGCATTACTGTAATAACGTCTTATGACTCTAGCTAGTACGTAGATTGTCCTGTTCAAGATCTTGATATGTATGTCGAATATATGTGATAGCATGAACGTCTGTGTTACCTGTAATTAGTAGCATCCCACACACTAAATGTTCCATCCTCAGACCCTGTAAAAAATGCTGGAAGTTCTGGATGCAATGCCAAAGCAGAAATATTGTTCTTGTGACCTTCTAGAATCTGGACACAAGTTTGATTTTGCAAGTCCCAGACCTGAAAAACATTTAATGTTCAGAAGGCAATTCGGAGATAATTAAATAATTATTATCTCGATTTTATTTTTTGCAACATACCTTAGCTGTGTGATCATCTGATCCAGTGATTAGATATTGTTTATCATTACAAGTTAAGAAATCAACACAATTGATCCCCTTCGAATGTGCTTCTAGTTCGAGAATTGGATCAGAGGAGCTAAGATTCCACATCTGTTTGAAAAAGGAATGAAAGGTAAAAATCAATAGTCCAAAGGTTATATAGTAAACCACAATGTGTAATATATATACCTTCATTGTGCAGTCAAGTGATACACTTGTAAACGTCTGGTTTTGATCTTTTGGATTGAAGGCCACTTGCATCACATAGTGGTTATGCCCCTTAAAAATCTGAGTACAAGCCCAGTCTTTTTCCCAGTCCCAAAGCTTTATCATCGTGTCATCGGAACATGACAGAACATAAGGAAGAGAAGGATGAACAGCTAATGATCTGATATAATCGTCATGTGCTTTGAATTCCTTAGTCTTTTCCTCTGTTGTGTAGTTGTACACTCGAATGAAGTGATCATCTGATCCAACAACAATACTTTTTTCACGAGCGATAAACTTGGCTGACCTGACTGAAAAAAACAGATCATTTATATTATTAAAGCATTATCCAGGACTGATATAGTTATTCAATAATATATACATACCTGGTGACTCTGAGACTTGATAGTTCTTCTCGACAGTCTGCAGGGTTCATATAGCCGACCTTATTATGCAATTCAACAAAAATATACTACTAAAATTTCCTAGCTAGACGCGAGGTTGCTTACTTGAGATTGATAGTTCCATATTTGTACAGTTCCTGTGTACAAGCTCACTAAAACCCTGCATGATCAACAACGCGGTTATATATATATATTATATATAACCCCTTTTTGTAAAACAGATTGATTTTATAATTCTTACCATGGCTCTGTTGGGTGGATCTCCAAGGACTTGACCCTTTCTGATTTCTTGATATGTTTTTTCTGTGTCAAAAAAACATTGTTGTCAGTTTAATTTCAGTTATAATATGTCATGATTTAAATGATACCAGAAAATTTACTGTAGTAGTACCTCAATTTCAATTGCAAGAGTCTGATGACACCGCGAAATTTGATCCAACAGAAACGTAGGACAAAGGAAAAGAAATGGTCGTCAGGATATATAAGATCATACAAATTGAATATTTGCAATTCAAACATGCAGTATATAGATGTTATATATGATCAAGTTTTTGTGAGTATGCAAATGCTTCTTGAGAAAATTGAGCAAACAAGCATTCAAATGAGTCTCATTGAGATACGAATAAGTAATCCTGAAAATAAGACATGTTGCATGCTACTGAACAAGTAAATATAATTATCACGGTAATGTAGAAGTAACTTATAACTTACCATTGTCTCGGACGTTTGAAAAGTTAAAAACCTTACTAACAAAAGCTTAACACTTGATGGAATTGGAAAAATGTTTTTCTTTGTTGTTGTTGGAGTTGTGATTTACCTCTTTATATACCCAAGAATACTTTGTTCTTAAGTTTCAAAGGAAGATACACATGCATGTATAGTTGCCTGGTTTGACTTGTATTTATTTGGAATGTCACATTCTTAATGATATCATACAAGCCACTTGTAGTCGTTGATGATGATTTGTTGGCAGAATCAAGGGTGTATATATGAAGTCTTTATTGACTTGCAAAAACCATAATGGGATTTGAGAATGGAAATTACTAGGCAGTCACTATATCAAGAAATCAAAGAAGAATACTCTTTAATTTGAAAAAAATAATATCTTCTACTTTGCGTGTTTTCTCTTTAAGGGCCAATTTTTATATGTACAAGTTTTGTATGTTAAGGATAAGTTTTGCATGGACAAATTCTCCTATACAAGACATACACTCATACATACTATGTGTTCTAATTTCATCTATAGTTACATATTATCCTACTATTTAATAATAATGGAATAAATATATAGCAGAGTTGGAGGTAAATATATTAAGGGATAAGGGTCTGAAAAATATCTCAATTTTAATCGATTTTACTGTTGCGATACTAAACTTTCATGAAGACTTATTACCTCCCTGAACTATTTAATAGTTTATTATTTACCCCATAAACTATTTAATAATGTATTTTAAATCTATATATGTGCCCACGTGGATATATTACTATTTATAATTTTGCATTATTTTTTATGTCCATGTGGGCAAATATATATATTTAAAAAATGATAATAAATAGTCTAGAAAGGTAATAGATCCGCATGAAAATTTAGTATCGCAACTGCAAATTCAACTAAAATTGAGATATTCTTTAGACCCTTATCCATACATTAACATACATCGCTCGTTAAAATTAGCCTAAAACGGCCTACGAAGTTGAGGTTAGTCCAAAATTCAGATTCTAGTGGGTGCGCCACGAGGCCCATTGATCCATGATGTCAAGGCCTGCAACAAGTAAATTGGATTAATCAACAAGTTTTAATGTGCATGTTGCTCTTGTAAACTATATATTTGAAATTGGATGCTACAACACTTCAAGGCTGAGTTTCAATAACTAGTATTAAATGGGATATTATTAATTTTTAACACCATATTTTGTTCATAAATTGGTCATTGGAAGAAAAAAGAGATGCATGACATTGATATGAAATACTATATATAACACACCATTTGAATCACCAATATTTGTGTTGGGATTGAATGAAAGAGATTCTTTCACTCTCTCAAATTCAAGCCCCGAAAATGATGATAGTCGTAGATAGATAGTGTATAATTTCTCTTTTAATAAGTCCTTTACGAATATATATAAGTTTCACAGTTTGTGCTCAATTTGAAGGAACAATTTTATCAATCAAAGGAACAATCAGTAAGAATGATCTTGGGCGTACATTTTTTAAACGTTCAAGTGGTGCTACCATTTTCAGAATTTTAGGTCTTGTTACTTTCAGTATTTTCAATTAGAAAATAAAGGCGAGTTCAAAATTTTTTAGGTCTCATTTCTTTTAAGAGGTAAAATTAACATGCTATTATACGTTTCACGTTATTTATACAAAGAAAGTGAATGAATTAATGTCCAATTTAAATAAAAATAAATAAAATTATAATACTAAACGATGCTAAAACATCAGACGACTATAAATAAAATCAACAAAATATATACCATCAATTAAATCAAATCAGTGAGGATTTTTTAATCACAATTATATATGGTTGACAAAAGCAACGGAAATTGAGACAAGTCCACTCATGTTTTCTAATTTGTTTCTATAAATAGACTAGACAAATATAACTTTAAATTTTATACAACTTGTTAATTATTCCCTTCCAAAAGTGAAGAATATAGACATCCAAACAAGTCACTTTTCCCACTCTTGAGCTAATTAATGACCCCCCCAAAAAAACACAAAAAGATTACATTAATCATTATAATTTAGAAGAAATACACTTAACTCTCTTTCTACTATAAGCTTCCTATCACAATGATGATTTTAAATACCAATATTGTATGTCTAAGCTCTCTTTAATTTCCAAACTTTGAAAATGTGTATCATAATTATGTCATTAACACTTCCGAACTATTCAAATAAGGAATTAAATTCAACTTCCATTACATTTTTGGGCCAAACATGTTCCCACCATTACATTTTTAGCCCAACCGTCCAATCAGTTCTCACACCCTTGCTACTATCACATGTACTTCAACATGATATTAAAGCAGACATAAATTTTTTATCTAACAAGGTTAATTTCTCGTCATGGGATAGCTTTATTGGGCTATCAAGTGTCACAAAGACAATCAATTAATTACCACAACTCTCTCAAGAGTGGTGAACGTGTAGAGACTAGCTAATTGACTTCATGAGCTAGCTAGTTTTAGTCCACAAAAGTTGGTTTCATTTGGAATATATACATGACTAATTATAATGAGTCAATGTTGCTATCATCAAAAGGTAAAATGAAAAATGGTATATTCTGGGAATAAACTTGTCTACTACACTGCTAACAAGTAACAACCACCCCCAACACAGATGAACGAACCGTGGGGTGTTCTTTTTAATTTGTTACATCTTTGTTACTTCCAACTTAGAATCCGATTAATTGACTTATTTTAAGTGTTTTTAATCGTGGGGTGCTTTTTTTAATTTGTTATTTCCAACATATTCACTAGGCTAGTTAGCAAAATTTAAAATTTAAAATTTATAAACTTTGAGTTTTAGCAGAAATAATTTGCTAGGTTCTGAACAAAGTCAGGTGCTTTAAAGAGAAAAGTGTACACAGTTCATTTCCCTTTTCTGTCCTTGTTAAATTATTTGCTCATTAAATGAATTTCTTAATATAAATACGTATAAAACTTTTATCAAAATTATTAAATTTCGTGAAGCCGATACTAGCTCAAATGAGTTTGACTAATTCATAGTGGCCGGCCAATACCAAATTAGATCTCCACATATATCAAAGCACTTGACTTTCAATATACACTTTATTGAGTCAAATAATGCATAACAAATAGAGTCGATCGATCGAGCATGTTGGTTAATAATGCTGCAGCTTGTTCAAATTTGGGGTGCAAAAAACTATTTTGTTGTTGCTACTGCCTACTTGCTCCAAAATTGCTTGCCACGTCTACTGCTTTTTCTTATCTTTCATCTGTATATCCATTCAAAAACATATCTCAAATATTTTAATTTTTAGAATTTTATGTTAGGTTATTAGCATTTTAATATTAATATTTAACATATTAAATTTCTTTATTTTGGAGTTATAAGAATGACCATTGGTAGGCATTTGTGTTTTAAACTATCAAATTAATCATGTTATTCATCTTTGACTTGGTAGCCATGTAATGCCATTACTTTTTGCTTTATTGGTTGAATTCATCGTGAGATAAAAACATTCCACTAAACTTTTGGAATGGATAACTTCTATATCGTCCATCAGTATTGGTTGTCCATCAGTTTATTTCATTCTTAATTCCTCCATTACTCTTTGTAACCTTTGTAACCTATGTAACTCCTATTGTAACCTATGAAACTTCTAAGGCCATTATCTTCACTATTTACTACCTCCATTATCTTTCTATTCATTGCTAGGAAGATTTCTTGTAGTATAAATAGTGGTGGTCTTCATTTGGTTTGGGATACACACAAAACACAAGAGAAAACAAAGAGCGAAAGAGTTAGTCTAAAAGAGAGTTCTTATTAGTTGAAGGGAAGTGTTCTTTTTTGTGGAGCTTTGGACTCAACTCTTATCCAGAGTTGTTGAGTTATACTTTGTGAAGGCTGTTGTATCCTGGAGGGGACAAGTCAAAGAGGACTACTGCTGGACCGGCGAAAACATTTGCTGCAGTGAACTTGAATCTCCTTAAAGAGTGCGAGATATCCGCGCCTCAGCCTGAAGAGATTAATTTCTTCATTTTATTTTCAATTATGATCTTGCAATTTTTATTATCTTGTAAGTTTTTTCACCAATATTTTATATATAAATTATTACAACACTAAAAAAAAGCTACACTTTTTTTTTTTAAAATGACAAATATTTAATTTTAACAAAGAGAGTAGTATTATATAACAAGACAACCACATTTTAGCTTCTATTTTCCCTCCAAAACTTATGATTTATAAATATCTTACAACATACGGCACAAGAGGTGTTTAGAAACGCCACTGCATTTTTTCTATTTTATATCAATCCAGAACAAACCTTTTCTTTCGTCCAATATTCAGAGTTCGTATTAGAGTTTTGATTAAATTTAAATCGATCACTATCAGACTTATTTGAAGAATTTTTTTCAAATTCAGAGCTCAATCCGAAATTTCTAATTGGGGAATAAAATAGTCTCACCACTACACCAGAAACATGTTCGTTTTCACAACAAACTTATTCCCCTCTCAAATGCTCCCAAGTACCATCAAACACTAACTAATCTTACATACTATGTAATTTACTACATGTTTACCGTTAGTTTGATCACATAAAATGTACGTGTAAAATAGGTAGCTCATGCGTTTTTTTTTACTCTTAGTTCAATAATTACTAATTCAGTCTACGTGACGTAATTTGTACATGAACTTTATAATTTGCCACTTATGAATGGAATAACTAATTAATTTATTACTTCCATCAATTCTATAATACTTGTTCACTATTTGACTTGACATATGAACTAAAAAAATCGTAAATGATAAGAGTAATTTTATCAAATCACTTTTATTAAATATAAGTCATCTAAACATTAAAAATTTAATAGCAAGAGTAAAGTAAACGACACAAAATGGTAAAATTTTCATAGGTTTTATAAACTGAATAAGTATTGGACATTTCAAAATAGTATAATGAACAAGTAAAGATGGACGAAGGAAGAAAGTAATAATTAGTGAGACATCATAATTGAACAAATTATGATCCTAACTATAATTAGGCCAACAGAAAAGATCACATCCCATTCAACTATAACTATATATCAATTTGGTGAAATTCTTTTGTTTCTTTTGCCCCAATAATTCTCTTCCTTTTCTTCAAAGAAAAATATGTTGTTAGAATAATCATGTAGGTGTTGAGTCCTATTTTGCTGTGCCACGAAAATTTATTGAAGAAATGAATAGTTGTCTTCTTAATTATGAGTTAAGCTTTTAAAATTGAATTCAATCATATTCATAACTCCAGTTTTACTCATATGGCATGTTTGACCTAGACCATAAGTGTGCATGTATATATATTGTTCACGTACAAAATATTGTATTTAAAGCCTATACAATTTCTCACTTTATTTTTCTTCTCAATATTACGAAAGTTAAATTATGCATTTGGACATAAGTATTGGGTGCACGTAATTCATGATACTCACAATCTTAGGCGTAGGAGATCATTATTCTTTTCGCTTCTTTGAATTTTATGATTTTAAATGTGTCATTTATACCGCATGTTGAGTGTCAATGGTTAATATAGGAAGTGGCAATTATTTAAAAACAAGATTTAAAATAAATGTAAGCCAAGAGAAATACGCTCTCTGCTATTTAATATATACCTATACATGTTTCCTATCCGCCCTTAAGAAATAATATTTAAGATGAGTATATTACCACAATACTTATGTTAATTGATGCATATTCTTATGTATTAAAAAATGATTTAGGGAATAAGTAATTAATATAGAAGATATAAAAAAAATTTCTTTTGATAAGATCAAAGTAGAAAGTTAAAGTAATATATTTTAATATAAATAAATAAATAAAAATGAACGAAAGAGTAAATTAAAACGAATGAAGTACTAAATTTGGGATGTTTGGTTTGGTACAATATTTTTCATTCACTTGCGCTTTGCGCCTTTTTTTCCCCTTTTCCAAATTATAAATAACTGAATAAATGCTACGCTATTTTGATCATGCACTAAAGCAAGAGTAAGTATACGTTATCTTCCTCTCTTCTTTTTTTGGCTAGATTTTCAATATGTATATATATTGAATATCCTTTATATCTTTATACTTTTACGTTTTTATATTTTAAATTATCTTATTAAAAATTATAATTTTGTCACTGAATTTCAATTATACATAAATGCCAACATGCATGTTATGTCCACTCAAAATATTAAAAGTGTTAAATTCTGGTAATTAATTTAGTTGAATTTGACCATATGAATCGTCTATTATCTCTTTTGTTGTATTCAAGATATTTTTCGAAGGTTCATCGTGTAATGTTAACCTAGGTACTATAATAAAAAGTCATCTTTTATTTTAGGTTTGGGATTAGCTACATTTGCCTCAGGACAAAATGGTAATCATTTTAAATTTCTTAATCAAGAGTCTTGGCCACTCATTAGTCAATTAACCTTTTTTGGTTTAATTACTGTTGTACTAATATATGATAAAGTCATAATAATATTTTTTTTTTGTGTGAATTAGAATAGAGAAACGTGTCTGTTATTAAATCTTTTTCCATCATTGACTCATTATCTATTTCTAAACGTTTCTTAGTATATGATAATGTCATGATTATACCTAAACTAATTACGTTGTTACGCCTAAACCTATATTCCCTCCCATGTACTTCCCACTTTAAAGAAAAAAACGAAAAATAATCTCACGTAAGAAATTTATCCATAGAATCTCATCAAATCACATTTACCTAAGATTATTAAATAAAATATCGTTTGTTCGCTCTTTACCATAGATAAATTAAACATAATAATATTTTAGTGAATAAGAATAGAGGTGTGTGTCTATTATTAAACTTTCTTACATCATATGGTTATTATTCAGTGCATTGTTAGTTTTTGCATTCTTCCAAAATTTTAAATTATTAAATACAACATCATGTATTCGCATTCACTTTGCCACAATAAAAACATAGATATTATTTACTCCATTCAGTTAAAAAGGAATGATTTAATTTTCTTTTTAATCTGTTTAAAAAAGGATATTTTTTTTATAACAATTTAACTTTAATTTTCCACGTGACATGTTTAAGACTATAAGATTAAAGAACTTTTGATATATTTAACATAACTTTAATTTAAAACGAAAAGATTAAAATTTTTTATTTCTTTCTTAAGCTTTGTTGCAAACTAAACTAGATCATTTTTTTTAAATAGAGGGAATAATGAACCAGGATAAAAGAGGATCGTAAAAAAAAAAAATTCCATTGTAGTCATTATTCTTCAAATTTAAATTGGTGCATCATTAGTTGTTACATTCTTCCAAAAATTTCTAGATTATTAGACAAACGTCATGGGTTTGCACTGCGTCTCATATAATATTTGCACTGGGTCTCATATAATATTATGATATTTTAGTGATTCTAATGAGAAATAGAAGATTAAGCTTATTATCTTTAAAAAATCATTATAGACTCATTATTCATCAAATTTTAAGTGGTGCATTATTTATGATTCTTCAAAAAATTCTAAATGAGGAGAAGTGATTAAAAAAAAAAGAATCTTAAAGAAGAAACAAAACTGTCCTCTCAATGTTTTTATACAACTTATTCACATTTTAAACAAAAATTCTAATTATTAAATAAAATGTCATGTTTTTGCTTTTTGCCATGAATAGAATCATGATATTTTATTGGGCCAGAAGCAAGGATAAAGGAGCATGTCTAGTACTAATTTTTTCCATTATAAACTCATTATTAATCAAATTTTGAATGGTGCATCATTAATGATTCTTCCAAATATTCTAAAAGAGTATAAGTGATAAAAAGAAAAATACATCTTAAAAAAGAAATAAAACCTTGTCCTCTCAAAGTTGTTATACTGCTCACTCACATTTTTATAAAAAAATAATCTAAATTATAAACAAAACGTCATGTGTTTACCTTTTATCTCGAATAAAACTATGATATTTTAGCGTGTAAGAATAGTAGCATGCCTTTCACTAATTTTTTCTATCAAATTTCATATCTTTATATTAAAAGGAGAAATTGACTATAGAATGAAAAACCTTTACCTCTCGAAGTTATTATGTAATACTTACGAGCGCGTTGGGCGGATATTTTAAATTTTTCCCAAATAATATAAAAGGGGCATTGTGTTCATTTCCATTTAAATCAACAAAGATCAACAAATTTTCATTCGATCTTCTCCGATCCAAATCTGAGAAACTAACCCAATACATATTTTCCCCAACTTATTGTTCTTGAACAAAATTCGTTAAAATTAAAAACAAAATAAAAAAAATGACTTTGAATTCGATTAAAGTGGAAGATTCATCTGGGAATACAAATGACGGAACAGAGGCTTCATCTTCGTCTTCGTCTTCGCAACCTAACGGTGTACATAAGGTATGTTTGCCGCCTCACCGGACGACATTTCAAAAACTCCGGCATAGATTGTCGGAGATATTTTTTCCCGATGATCCACTTCACAAGTTCAAGAACCAAACGGCGTTGAGGAAATTTGTTTTGGGTTTACAGTTTTTCTTCCCTGTTTTTGAATGGGGACCTAAGTATAATCTTATGCTTTTAAGATCTGATATTATTGCCGGCATTACAATTGCTAGTCTTGCTATACCTCAAGGAATCAGTTATGCTAAACTTGCTAATTTGCCGCCTATTATTGGGTTATGTAAGTGCCTTTGTTGTTTTTCCCTCCAATTCTTTTTTCTTTATATGTCAGAAGATGTTATACTATTTTATATATTGAATCTCCTTTATATTGAGGTAATCGTTATATAAAGTGGTAAAAAAAATTATCATTTGTATATATTTATAAATATATGTTTGTAACGATTTAAGGCGATTAATGAAAAATATTCATTTCTTCTAACACATGATTACTGCTAAAATTATCACTTACTATATGTATAGGTTTGTTACCTCGTTAAGATTGGCAAGGGAAAAAATAAGAACTATCCCCTTAAGGATTTTTTACTACTAATAAAAGGCCGCTAAACGCTTTATCTAGTAGTTAAAAAAAAAATAATAATAAAAGTATGTTAAAATGTTGCTTTACTTTTTGTGACGACCAATACAATTGTCACGTAAACTCGTCATAACAAAAAGTTCTTATTATTTTCCCCTAATTAGCTCGAAAACACGTTTGCCGTTAAAGACTATCATTTACTAGGCAAATATTTCACTTTTTTGTACAAATTAAATTTAAATACCCAGAATTTTTTTATTATTACGTGGAGAACCTACCTTCACTTTTTGTGACGACCAAGGAATTGTAACATAAAAAATTATCCGATGCATGGTCGCTACTAAAACTATCACTTACTATACGAATTAAATTTTGAATATTCTTAGCGAGGAAACTTACTTTTTATGACGCTAAGCTAATTGTCGCGTAAAAGAAAATGTCATTTGTTGTATTGTATAGTGATTAATATATGATGAATTTTGTGTGACATCCCCAGATTCAAGCTTTGTTCCCCCACTAATATATTCAGTTTTGGGAAGTTCAAGACATTTAGCTGTTGGACCGGTATCCATAGCCTCACTTGTAATGGGAACCATGCTCAGCCAAGCAGTTACATACAGCAAAGAGCCAACTTTATATCTTCAACTTGCTTTCACATCAACTCTAATTGCAGGATGCTTGCAAGCTGCAATGGGTTTCTTCAGGTATATCTTCATGAACTATTTCATATTTTTTCATATATAAATACGCGAAAAAATGTTAGGGTTGCTCAGTTGGTAAAGGCCTTCCGTCCTTCACTTGTGGTGAATATTGAATCTCATATATAAATTTTTTTGATTTTGATATTCGATGACTTACAGGTTAGGATTCATCATTGATTTTCTGTCGAAGGCGACTCTACTAGGGTTCATGGCTGGTGCAGCAGTCATTGTCTCTTTGCAACAGCTGAAAGGATTGCTAGGGATAGTACATTTCACAAACAAGATGGCAATAATTCCTGTTTTGACCTCGGTTTTCGAAAACAGAAATGAGGTTAGAACATCCCTTCAATAATGTGTTAAAAGTCATATATCACGAGGACCAAAATTATATTGAAAGGTATGTATTGATTAGTGTAACTTTGCAACATTTGTTTGCAGTGGATGTGGCAAACTATTGTTATGGGTGGTTGTTTCCTCATATTTCTGCTCACTGCAAGGCAAATAGTAAGTGTTTTTTTCTTCTTCTTTTTTGGGTTATGTGAATGAGAAAGTTGCATCTTATTGTTCACTTCTAAAACAATGCTCTTCCATACAACAGAGTGCAAGAAATCCAAAACTTTTCTGGGTTTCCGCGGCAGCTCCATTAGTATCAGTTATTCTCTCAACTGTCATAGTTTACCTGATCAAAAATGAGACACACGTGATCCCAACTGTGAGTAAATCTTACATGCATCGTCTCTACTTTCATCCGTTGTTCAGTTTTAGACGCGACCATGACAATGAAGATACTTAATTTTGTTGCACAGATTGGACACTTGCCTAAGGGGATAAATCCACCATCAGTGAACAAATTACATTTTGGTGGCCCTTATATGGCTCTTGCTCTCAGAGTTGGCATTATAACTGGAATCTTAGCGCTCACAGTAAGTGAAAACGAACTACTGTCTACTGCTAAACATTTTAATTCCTCAAAGAAAGAAAGAAAGAAAGAAATGAATCGCGGAGATTAGTGAACTGACCTATACAACCCTACAGGAAGGAATTGCAGTAGGAAGGACATTTGCTGCTATGGAGAATTACCAAGTTGATGGCAACAAGGAAATGACTGCTATTGGACTCATGAACATAGCTGGCTCTTGTGCTTCCTGCTTTGTCACCACAGGTACAAACTAAGCAACATTCGCTTCCACAGATCACGGGTTTTTAGGGTGTCAAATGGGCGAGACAAAAGTTACTTGAGCTGAAATGAACTAAAAATGGGTCATGTTTCCACAGGCTAATTTTGACACCCCTGGTTCTCTCTTTTTCTTATTCCAACTAAAATTCAATGTTGCAGGGTCATTTTCTCGATCTGCTGTAAGTTACAATGCTGGAGGAAAATCTGTTGTTTCAAATATAGTAATGGCTGCAACTGTGCTTATCACCCTGCTGTTTCTCATGCCATTGTTCCAATACACCCCTAACGTCATCTTGGCAGCCATTATTATAACAGCAGTGATCGGGCTAATTGATTATCAAGGTGCATTCCGTTTATGGAAAGTTGACAAACTAGACTGCATCGCGTGCTTGTCTTCCTTTTTTGGTGTTCTTTTCATCTCAGTGCCTGTTGGCCTACTCATCGCGGTAAGCAGTTTCTCCTCATAAATCTCAATCCCTGCCTCAATGTTTCTAACTTCTCATATCTAACTAATGTACTATAATTTTTGTTCATGATAACACTTCAGGTCGGTATTTCAGTTTTCAAGATCCTATTGCATGTTACTAGGCCAAATACTAATGCCCTGGGCTACATTTCGAGTACTCGTTCATTTCAAAGCCTAAGCAGATACACCACTGCTGTTAGGATTCCTTCTTTCCTTATCATAGCTGTTGAGGCTCCTTTCTACTTTGCAAATTCTACCTACCTACATGAAAGGTAAGTTTAACCTTCAAAGTGACTAAATATTTTGTTACATTAGAGTCGTATCAACTAAAAGTTAGCAACTTTATACAACTACAGGACATTGAGATGGATTCGAGAAGAGGAAGACAGGATCAAAACCAACCAAGAACCTCCAATCAAATGTATAATTATTGACATGACAGGTTGGTTCGAAAAACAGAACATATATTGTATCACGTTTTCTTTCGCGAGTAATCTAACATTTCTAGTAACACAAAAATTGGGGGTTTCTTTCTGCAGCTGTGACAGCTATAGACACTAGTGGCATTGATACAATATGTGAACTAAGAAGAATACTTGAGAAAAGATCACTTAAGGTAAAAAAATCTTTCAACTGTCAAGCTTTTGTTTTCACGGTTTCTTTCTTGGTTGATTGTTTATGCTTTTAATTGTCAACTGTTGCAGCTTGTGCTGGCAAATCCAGTTGGAAACGTTATGGAAAAGCTGTTTAACTCAAATGCTCTTGAGGCTTTTGGGTTAGACGGATTATATCTAACAGTTTCTGAAGCAGTGGACGATATTTCGTCTTCGTGGAAGCCTGAAAAGGGGCCAGCTCAACCACTAACTATATGAGATTTGTACAATGGATGGAGAGAAGAAGAAGAAGGACTAATAAACTGAAGCTTTGGGAGGAATTGATTTTTGTTCTACGCTCTTCTAAGAAGAGAATTTTGATGTATACTATCTTTATCTATGATGAGAGCAAGCATATCCATGAATGTAACCCTTGTTTGTATATAATAATTTAGGAAACCACTATCTTTTTTTTCTGTTTAGAGAATAACAATTATTTTTACTTGTCTGGAAAAATAAGAAGAAACTAAAAACTACTATTAACTATTAATCAGCAGATTACTCTTCACTGCCCTTCATCAATATCAAATCTAGGTGTGGCATCAAACAATTTTCAATTACAGCGTCTAAACTGCAACACTTATCATGCAATTTCAGATTAAGAAGTCTTCGAATAACAAAATGCATTATGAATGCTTAAAATCTACATATACCTTGCCAGACACTGTCGTCCCATTAGAATTTGCTACGTCATTCTAAATCTCTTCAAGTTGTACATAAAATGTCTAAGCACAGCTCTGCTTAGCTTGTTTCCTGTTCTGTTTTTCAATCTCCAAAGACAATTGACATGATTGCAGCCAGCAAAGGAAATAAAATCTCCTCTAGAAAGCTTTAGATGTCAGATCAGAAGACAGACTTGTAAGCTGACAAGCTTATCCAAGATCATCTCCTTGGAAACCAGGGAGCACCATCATTAAGACAATTGTTCTTCCTGTTGCACTTCAACTCCGTCAAACATCTACACATTTTAATGCATTTCAAAGAATTAGTCACATAAGCAGAATCAGGGCCCTATATAGTTCTTGTACAGACCATATGTCATGTGAACCTCCAATAGATGCAAAAAATCATAATATACTACAGGCATATAGTGGTGAGTCAATCTTCTGATATGTGTGATAACTAGTTATCAAATTAAGATTTTCTCTTTTTGACAAGTAAAGATGATTTTATTTCATAAAACAACAGTACCAAGATGATACTGCAGATTAGTACAAAAACTT